GGGCTTCGGTGCCTTATTGATAAAAACACAACATTTGACTGCGTATTTCTGAACGCTGACGACCGCTCACACCGCGTTGAGACGAAGTTGGGGAAGCAATGTAAACATATTCATAATCGCCCGTAGATGGTGGGGCCATCTGTGTTTGAAACACTCACACTGGGCCGATGAACGGCACCAAAACATCAAGATCGGCCGGCGGCGGCTGTTTTTATTTCTAAATTATGTCTCTTAGTGGTTTACATTGCACCCTTATCATACCCTCCAGTGGCATCACTTATGCAGGTTGGACGGCCGGGCTTTTTGAAGAGCATAGGCCAACTTTCAAAACATATTTGTAATCGTGCGCCGAGGGTGGAGCCATGTGCGTTAAATCCATTGCGCTCCGAGCGATCAAAAGAGCAAAAAAGATCACGTGACGGCGCAACATATTTTTGGTATCCCCTTACAACGGTATATTCCTGAATGCAGGCGGCACGCCTACGCTTATCTAGATGAAAACACACTGCTGAAAAAATCCCACCGCGCACGGAGAATGGGACAGATGTGGAAAGAGTGGGACAGAGTGGGACAGTGGACAGTGGGACAGTGGGACTGTGAGTGTTTGGTGGCACTGACGAGGGCTATCGATCGGTTTCGAAATATCGTGCCCTGCCGGTGGCACCATTTTGTTTGACAGGATCCCTGAGAGGGCATTCATGAATGCAGGCCTGCCAGAAGATGGAGAGGAAGATTGCGAAGGAGCCAGGAGCTACCTGGTACGATAAAACAGCCGCAGCTGCGGTAGAGCCGGTGTGCTGACGATAGGACGATTTCGGGACAAAATGGAGCCAACTGTGTTCAGTTACATTGCGCGGCACTTTCAAACCACCATGCTGGAGGTATTATAAGTTTATTTTACATTTGCCTTTGGGCTGGATCGGAATCATGCGATAGAAATGAACGTTTGTGGTTGGCACAGCGGGCGGTGTAAGCATGTCGCGACAGGTGATTGGTGAATGTTTGAGCCTTTGCATCACTAGGCAAGTTATATTTCGCGGTAATAGACCTGCTTTGTAAGCGCAGCCCCGCACCGAACTTAGCATACAAGTAAAAAACATTTCCCAAACACAAGGGTACCATTCGAGGTCATCGTGGTAAACGCTGTTGTGGCGAACTGAAAGCATTTGAGCGGCATTTCATTTAATTTACGTGACAATGGCTCATACGTTTTTAACATTTTTGTTTTTGACCCCACGTCGTTTTCCCAGAAGTGCTTCAATGCGCTCCCGGATGAGGTGGAGGTCAAATTGATCCCCTCACATTGATTTCCGAACGACGAGGTGAGGTCGCGCCAAACTTTGCATAGTTGAGGGCAATTGAGTAGCGGTTCTTTATGCATAAAAAATCAGATATACCTTGTAAGGCCACATGCCTGTGGCATGTCGGTCAGGCCATAGCTGTCAGCAAAGGTAATTCCAAGGGAATCATTCAATCTGTTGCGACAACGGAGTGCAACACGAAGTCGTACATATCTGGGATGTTTTTAGACATCAGGCAGTTTAATTTAGAATTCAGACAACTCAAATTGACCTCAGGTTATGTCTGCAGGTCAGACCGAGGTGGAAAACCAATCTGCTTTTTACTGGGACGGCTTTCGACATGGGAGTTTTTACGCTCATTTCGAATTCCGAGGTAACAGGAGACGGCACCAAAGATCATCTTTGGTGTTTTTTAAGGTAAAAGGTCACCGACCTAATTGACCCGCACTGACCTGTCGGATTTATGAACATGCCACCCAGCGTGTCCCTTGATGGCCCGTTAAAACTTACAAATCCAAATAATCTCCGTCAGTTTTTTGCCACATGACCGTAAGGTAAAAAGGTCACTTACCTGAAATAAGCGCCAGCAACCTTTGCTTAGAACAGGCGTCTAGGTCCAGGGCGGCTGCATGGGAAAGCGTGGGAACAGTTTGGCCACAAGCTGGAATTTGACCTTATTTGACCCGCAGGCCATGACCTAGGAATCCTAACGTTTGACACGAGTGAGTTTGCATAGTCTACCCAGCCTGTGAATTTCGGTGTCTGTGAGCTCTTAATTTTTGAGATATCAGGGGCCAAGTCAACCCTCATCCAAGCGCATCGTATCCAACTGGCCCACCCGGGCGCACGTCAAGCTCCTGAACCATTCATTACGGAAACATTTTGGCACAATGGCGCACCGAGAACATTGCAAAACACACACGTTAGAAAAATCAAACAAATGGAAGGTGTCGCTTTCATAGTAGCGGGCAGGGAGTCGTCCAATGGTGTTTTCCCACTGGAGCGACCACTCCAAGGGAAATTTCGAGCTATTCAGGATTTCGAGAGCTGGTATGGTCGCTAGCATTGGATGCGTCAAACTTGCCGTGAATAAAAATGATAAAAAAGGTGGCACATTCTCTTTCATAACTTAAGCTTAACAGTGAGACTGCATCCCACACGGTGCAAAAGTAAGGCGTGAGACTACAGCTATGCTGGCTAGATGGCCCTACTATCGCATCCTGCTGCTGACATATCTGTTTAACTCGACTCCAAATCTCAACTCCCAAAAACCGCAAATGAATCGAGCCCACCATGCTCAACGAAGACTGCTGAATCCCATGTCGGTTGCGCCTCCAATGACAGCCAATCAGGAGTGTACTGCGGAGGGCCGGTCTTAAGTGGAGTCGTGCGTCCAACGAAGTTTGTTAACTTTGTTCAATATCCAACAATACTGACGCCGCAGGTGACGACGTTAGTGTCACGAGCCTGACACCATGCGGGCCACCGCCAGATGCCCGCGACAGCGGACCACCTCCGGCCCGCCCCTCGAGCGCCTCACTCCTTCGCCGAGACTGCACAAACATCCGCATTATCACAAACAGCCGTATATTTGATTAGCGTTTTTGCCTTTATTGCAAACATAACCAAGACATACAAAGTGCGTGGAAATTTGTAGCAACACTGAGTTACATACACGTTTACAGCAACGCCCGGTGCCCTCTCGCGTCCCTATTTATTGCACTGGACAGTGACTGCTGGCTGCGGCCGGCACCGCCCGGCGCCGGCGTGTCTTCGGTGCGCGGCTGACCGGCCTTGTCCGCCCAGTGGCATCTCATACACGTCTCGCACACCGCAGCCCTCCCAACGCAACGTTAACAAATAGCGCGCGAACGGAACGGAGCGCGCGCCGCTGGCCGGCTCGCGCCGCGCCGGTGGTGGCGGCGACGCCGGAACTGGAACCATCCGGCCGAGAATTTCATCCGACCACGGTGCGAGGTAACGGTGGCGCGGAGTGGAAAGGGAGGGGGAGGGGGGGGGGGGGGGGGGCGTACACGCGAAACAGAGGTGCCAGCACTGTACGGCCAGCGCAGCGTAACAAATAACCCGTAAAGCGACGCCAGGCAGTGGCAGTTCGCGCGGCGTGGTGCGGATCTAGTGGAGCGGTAGGACGCGCAACGGAAAACGCGCCACCACCGGACACGGACAACGCGGGCGGCGGCAGCTGCCGCTCCAGAATGCGATCACCAAACAACGAACGGAGTCCAGGAGTAACCCGTGAAACAACAAGAGTCCGAAGCGAACCATGACCTGTCACTGAACGCACCAGCTGAGATAAGGGCCGACCGGGAAATGAAAGTGGCACCGCCCGCGAGACGCGGCCGGACCACGAGGAGCGGTGACGGAGAAAATAGAGGCCTATATTTGTACTGGACTTTTGTAATCACGCACACGCTGCTCCCGACTCTGGCCTCTCCGCACGCTCGGGCCGCGACCGGCGCGCGGCCGGTGGACGCGCCCGGCGCTGCAGCCCGCACCTGTCCAGCCAGCACCGAAGCGAGAAGCGCGGACGTCGACGGCGCGCCTGCGCCGGCCGGCCGGCACCGCGCCGCCCGGCCGGCCGTGCGCTAGCTGGTGACTGACGAGGCGGCGGCGCCGCTGGACGGCCGGGCCGCTCCCTCTACCTAGCCGCGCACGGGGCACGCCCCCCACTTTGATTCGTGCTTGTTTTGGACGCCGCGCGGTCTGGGCCGGCGGCGCCGCCGGCCGGCAGGACGGCACTCGAAGAGCGGGCGGCGGTGCGCCCGCACACAGCCCGTCGTCGGAGAAGCAACAGGTATTAGCACAGTCACAGCGGGCGGCGGGCGGCGCCGCGGCGGCGGACAGGCAGCGCCGCGCCGCGCCCAAGACATGAAACAGCGACCGCGCGCGCGCGCCGACGACCCATGCATTACATTCGTCACATGGACTAACACGTTCAAATCATCGGTAGTCAATGGAATATCATAGCAAAATAAGCATCCACTTTGATTATAGCAAAATATTCCTATCGGGTCAACACAGAGGTATTCATTTAGCGAGCAACACCGGCTCCTCCCCGCCCAGCCCCGGCGCGGCCTCCTGTAGAAAACCCACGAGGCCGCCCACCCGTATGACTTAGACGGATGCTTCCCCGTGCACGTGCTTCAGTGTGCGTGCCGGCATGCAGCTGCGCGTGCGGTGCGGCGCCTCGCACGCGCGGAACCCCGACGGAACAACAGCACAACCTTGGACAGAGCGCTCGGCCGGCTGGCGGGCCGCCGCCGCCCGCTCTCCTCCCTTCGCGACGCCGCGGGCGGCGGCGGCGGCACCAGCCTCGCACACCCAACACCCATTCACATCTAGTGCCGCTAGTCTACGTCTATGTATGCACGCGTGTGCGGCCGGCGCGCCGTTGAGTGGGGCGCGCCGGGCCGCGCGCGCGCGCGCTCGCTCGCTCGCTCGCTCAGGCAGTAGTAAAGCTTCGGAGACCGCCTACGACACCGGCCACGGAGAAGCACATTGCAGGGCACGCGCCGGCCCCCCGGCGGCCGCGGCCGCCCACTCAACGCCAACAGTTAATAGCGAAAGCAACAACAAAAGCGGACTAACCTCTACCCAGCGACGGCGGCTAGCTTCTACACATCCACGGTGCTGCCCGCTGGTGACCGGACCGCTGCTAAACGTAAAACTACCCGACTCTCAACTAAAACGACGGGCGGCCGCGACACGCTACCGGTCGACGGCGCGCCACAGCTAAAACCAAGTGAAAACAACGCGCGAGCGGCGCGCGGCGGAACAGAGCCGCACGCCGCCGCCTCCCGAACCTCAGGGTAAGTGACTATGTATATCCCGTAACGTTTCCAGTGTTGCGCGCCCCGGTGCCTCCGGGCGCGTCGAGTGTACACATTCTCACGCCTTTGTACCGTTTGACTAAGCACGCGGGCGCCCAGGCGGCGTCTCTTCGTTGCGCGACGGGACGGCGCGCGCCGCGCGGGCGCGAGCCGTGTGAGTCAGTGTCTGCCTGTGCCTCGGAGTGTGTCGGCGTCAGTGTCTGAGCTTGTGCGTGCGTGTGTGTGTGCTTGCGTGTGCTTGTTTGTCCTACCCCGTGCCGTTGTGTTAGTGTGCAAACGTTACCCAGCCACGGCAACAGCCCCCAGCTCCCTCCCTCCGCGTCCTCGGCGCCCCCGGACCTCCTGGCGTGTTTCACACGGGAGTCCCAAGACTTTGTCTTGATTATCACTCGGCACGCGCGGGCATCAGATCCCCGCCGCGCCCTCGCCCTACCCCGCTACGTACAAAGCGGCCGACCCGTGGGGTGCAGCCGACCCGCGGGGAGCGGCCGCGCCCCTTCCCTGGACCACCGAGCGCCAGCCATGCTGCCCCCGCCCGCCGCACATGCTTTAGCGTGTCAGCGTCACGGCCACGCCCACATGCGACAACGGCCAAGGTAAAAAGGCGTCCGCGCGCTGGCGTTACACTCGTGTGGACAGAGCAGTGAAAGCGCCGCGCCGCTCACGGCGGCCGGTGTACGGACGTCCCCGGAGCTGCCGCGTCCGCCACTGTGAAGCTGCGCTCTCCCCCTCCCTCTCGCTCCCTCTGTGCGGCGAGTCTGCGTCCCGCTGCCGAGCTGCTGCCCCGCCCCCGTGTGTGCGTGTGCGTGGTGGTGTGTGAGTGGGGCGCGTGCCGGGCCGCCGCCGCCCGCCGCGGCCGCTAGTAGCCGAGCGAGGCGGCGGCGCTGGCCGGCGGGCACCTGCGTCGGCGGCGGCTCCTCCTCCTCCGTCTCCAGCGCGCCGCGCTTGATCCGGCCGTACAGCGACGAGTACGGCAGGTTGTAGTACATGGACGCCTGGTTGATGCTCATCTCGCCGCGCTGCACAGTCTCCAGCGCGTCGTGCATGTCGTCCTCGCTCCACGGCTGGCCCACCGTCTTGCGCTCGATGCCGGCGCGCCGGCAGCGTCCGTACAGCGTGCCGGACGGGATGCCGTACTCGGTGCCGGCCTTCATAACGGACATGCCCCCGCGGATGGCGTCCAGCGCCTTCTCCAGGTCGGCCGGCGTCCACGACGTCTGCGCGTTGCTGAAGGGGGCCGACAGCTTGATGCCCTCCTTCTTGGCGATCTTGTACAGCGTCGAGTTGGGGATGCCGTACTCCTTGGAGGCCTTGTTGGCGGAGATGCGGCCGGCCCTGCGGCAGACAGAGCGGTGATGCGGACAGGCTGCGTACCATCTGGTCTTCAGCGCCCAGCGCACGCCCCACATGATGGAATAAACACACGTCTCTCGCATTGCTGCGCACGGTGAACGTCGATGATACATCCAATGCCCCAACGGGCCACCACGTCTGTGCACAAACACTACACTCTGAAGCATTACAAGAAACAATACAAAATACAAAAGCTTAACTTTATTTCCCCCCTTCTTTTCACATAAACAAATAGCCTTATCACGCCACACAATATTTGCTTCCGGCGAACATGAAACTAACAGCGCCCTCTTTGCGGCAGTGTACACACCAGACTACCCACTGGAAAGTAGCACCGCAAGGAGACTGTCACTGCATTACGTTCAGCATGCTCAAATGCTCGCAGCGAGCCAGGCACTGGGTGCTCATAGGTTGCATCCAAGTTCCATCTCATCTTATCCCAGTTACTGATGGAAGATCAAACATCAGACTGTTGATGTCGAATTCTACGAAATCTTCGTGCTACTGCACATCTTTGTGCCTTCATACATCAGGATGACAAGAACGACGAAACAAATTGAAATTATGATTTAAAAACTATTGTATAGAGTAAACGAACTTCGATATACCAGGAGATGCCGGGCAGACAACGTTGTAGTGTTAAATGACGACTTTATTAACGGTACTCAATATTTCGAGCTGCGCCTATCCTCAAGAGTTCTCATCATCAATATATATTCTCCGGACGATGAGCATAACTCGAAATATTAAGTACCCTAAATATAGCCGATTTTAGTACTACAAAGTCCTCAAACCAGCATCTCCTGGATATTGAAGGCAGTTAAATCTACTATATTATTGCACTCATAATACCGACAAACCAGGAGCTGAATGGGGGCCTGTCGGTCTTTTATATTACTAGACCCATTTTGTTTGGTTTAAGGCATTGGGCTTCTCGTTTGTCATCGTTATCAGTGCTCATGCTAAAAATAAACATTTTCCATAAACCAGGCCGCCTCGGCTCACCGGCGTTCCGGAGCCGCTCGTGACCGTCAGCACCGCCTCGAAACGTCCAACGCTGCTACGATATCTGCTACGATAATTTGGTATCGTCGTTTAACTAACACTCCCCTGGTATATTGAGCAAACTGATAAGCCCGCGGCTAAAATGAGCCTCCGCCTCATATCAAGGCGCCTACAACGGCGATCGCCCGGGTCTGTTTTTGTGGTCGGACAGGTTATGGACAGCATTGAGCCAATAAGAGCCGCTGACGCCGATCGCCGACCGTGTCGGCGACCGTCTCTCCGTCAGCAGCAGCCCAGCAGCCGTGTCAGGGCCGTCTTCCCGTCAGCACCGACCAGCAGCCGTGTCGGGGGCCGTCTCCCCGTCAGCAGCAGCCGAGCAGCCGTGTCGGGGACCGTCTCCACGTCAGCAGCAGGCGAGCAGCAGTGTTGGGGATCGTCTCCCCATCAGCAGCAGCCGGACAGCCGCGTTGGGGACCTTCTTCCCATCAGCAGCACCGAGCAGCCGTGTCGGGGACCGTCTCCGCGTCAGCAGCAGCCGAGCAGCCGACGGCCGACGGGGTCCGTCACTAGCGCCGCCTGGCGCGGGACGCTGGCCGCAGCCGCCCCGCCAGGCGGCGCGGTCACCGCCCACAATCGCCTAGCATCGTTCCCGCGGCGGGGAAGCGCACTAGACCCGGTGACCCGGCACCGAGCCTGGTGCCCGCCGGCCGCCAGCCGGGCCCCCGAAGTTAATCGCAGCGACCGGCGCCAGCCTCGCGGGCGCCACCTCCCGCCGGCATGCCCGGGCGCGCAGTACGGTCCGCCATGCTGGTGCCGGTACGCCGCACGCATGTGAGGCGCAGACTGGCAACTCCACTGCCCCCAGCTGTGACCGGCATGATGAGACTGTGGCACTAAGCCACCTGAATAGTTAAATGCGTCGTTAAGCCTCCGACATTGGCCAGTGAAGTGGCTCGCACACGCACTGTCCTAACCACAACGCCCGGCCCACTAATGTCAACGGACACGGCGGCATCTGAGCCCGCCGAAGTTCCCAGCGCGATGTCCGGCCACCGCGCCATTTCCACTACCGCGCCTTCCCTCCCCCGCTGTCGCCGGCCAGAAGGCCGACGCGAACACCACGCACGGACGCAGGACAGGACCAGGCCGCCATTCCCCGGCCGCGGCTAAGCCCCCGTAAGCCGCTCACCGCCACGCGGCCTTTCGCCGCACTGGCGGCGGCGGCCGGCCCCCGCCCCGGGAGGCGGTCCGGCCGGCGCGGCGGCGCGCACCCGGCGGGGCCGCGCGCCAGCACAGCGCCGCAAATGGGCCGCCATGCAGCGGTCGGGAGCGCGGCGGCGTGACGTCAAGCGACGTCCACACAGGCGGAAAACGGAGGCAGGCCACGCGACAAACATGGCGGGGCCGACGCCAGCTGGACGGCGTCCGACGCTGCTCTTCGTGGAGGAGGCCGCGGTGGATGCCGAACGGGATATTGGGAATTCGCGCCCGCTGGAACACCGCGCTTTGCTCTGCTGGGAGTGGGTATAGTGTCGCAGCCACGTGGGCTTCCGTTCTGAGTGCGTCCACTTTTCTAGCACTTCAGCCGCACCCGACAAGCGGCACGGAAACGAGGGCAGCGATGCATCCTGGGAGCGTCAAAATTAGGCAATGACGCCGTATTATGAATTCTTAAGCTAAAAATGGCGCCCTGTAATATACTGGGCGGCATCAGGCAATTCCTGGGATATACTATGATAATGCCCGACTCCTGGCACCTTAAATGTACCAGGATAATACTCGGATACTATATTAACAATATCAAACTATACAAATACTTGTCTCACTGAGATGGCTTACAGTCAGTGGCGACGGCCGCGGTAAAGGTCGGGTGGCGTCAGAGCGCGGGTCGGACCATGCCGAGCATTGCGGCACGTTACGCTTTCGCCAGAAAATTCCGTCGACCCGGAATTTCGCGATCGGATGTTGGGGCCGGGGCTCACGCGACGCCGCTGCTCAGCGTGCAAACCGATCCTCGAAATCCACCCATTCAAAAGTCCGGACGAAATCGTCGAAAATGCCGGCACTCCATGGCATATTGATGGCCGGTTATTTTCAGCACAAAAGCCATAAGCTTGAGGGTTTTTTTACCAATACCCGTACGAGGACGTTGGCAGGTTTTGTCAGGTTAATGGACAAAAACTGGCTGCTCTGTGGTAGCGGCGCTGTGATATGGCACAAAAATCCTACAGTTGCATGACTCGCTTGACAGATTTCGCGACAGTTCCCAGAAACCGCGTGTAACGCAGCGCCTGCACAAACATTCCTGAAATAGACGCCGTTTTGTTTTACATTGTTTCCATGATATTTCATACCACAAACAACGCGCAGCGTTACATGCACCAACATAACATAAATCAAAGCAGTTTTGCAGAAATCTCCCTTGACTTGCTTTATTAATATTTTGAGCTTTGGGTAACCTCCTCACTGATCCGGCTAATGGAGTCAACTCCCCAAGGGCCGCCACCAGCTCAGGCCGGGCCCTTCTGCACGCCTCACTACCACATCCACTGCATGCCTCGACTCCAGACGACAGCGCTAACAACAAAGAACCACCGCCCCCGACGCCCCCGCCGTCGCACCAAACCGCGGGGAACGGGAGGGGGAGGGCCGCACGAGAGCGGCGGAGCGCGCGCTGACCTGAGGTCGTTGAGCGCCAGCTGCAGGTCCTCCTCGGTCCAGTTCTTGTTGGAGCCCTCCTTCTTGGGCGTGCCGATGCCGGCCTTGTGCGCCCGCTGCCACAGCGTGGTCGACGGGATGCCGTACACGGACGACGCCTTGGAGAGGGACATGCGCGCCGTGCGCAGCGCGTCCAGCGCCAGCTCCATGTTCTCCTCGCTCCAGAGCTTGCGGTCGCTGTCGGAGGCGGCCGACACTGCAACAGGGAGACAGCGGCTGATGGCGGGGCGGCGGGTGAGAGGCGCTCACCTCACCGCTCGCACTGGCGCTCATCTCACCGCTCACACAGACGCTCACCTCACCGCAGTGGCGCGGCCGCAGCCGCGAAGGCTGTGGCAGACCGGCCGCCGCTGAGGAACGCCCAGCCAGCGCCGGAGCACAGAGACCCTCGTCTCGTAACGAGAGCGTTCGTCAGGGGCACCCGCCACGGAGCGCGGCCGGTCAGCGACGCCGGCACTGCAGCGGGAGAGGTCAGAGCACTCCTGCTCTCCTCCAGACGCCCACTGGCCATGTCGAGGAGGGAGCAGAAACGGCGATCGAGGGCAGATCGACAGCCCAAACGCTAAACTGCATGTGTAAGCCTGGCTGAAGATTCATCACGCCTGGGGGTGCTTTCAAAGAAACGACCCCGCTCAATACCAAAACACGCCGCGGTTTGAAATTGTAAGTTCAAGTCGGCCAGAACTGGCCGGATGTCTACGCATGAAGTAGAACAATTAACATTGCAACAGACCTCAATTGCGAAGGCTTTCAGTTCAAGCCCGTTTGTTTTCCAGATTTAGTCGACAATTCCAAGTAAACGAACCAGCGAAATATCAAAGTGAATGCAATTGAAACAGTCCATTTCTGCCTCAAACGCCATCCCGTCCGGCTAACTTTCAGTCACAGTCCGTTACGCTTTTGGACGCAGCTGAGCGCGACAGCCCGCGCCAACTTACGCCGCCCTAGTAAAGGAGCATCTGGTGGCGCGAGATACAGACCGCCGAGAGACCCGCCGTTTCATCAGACCGACCGGCGCAGTGGAAACAAATCGTGCTCATCAGCTCTCTCAGGGCACCGGGCCGGTAATTGCCACACGGTCCGTGAGGACGCCTGGCAGCAGGAGAAATAGATGGATTCTAACCTCATTACTGAACACCACCAGCTAAGCGGGCGGCCGCTGAGCCGCCTGTGGCCTGGAGACGAGCCCTGAATCGCCTCTGGCTTGGAGGTCCCACCCCGGACAGGAGGCCGTAAGTGATGCGTCGGGAGGCAGATCTGTGCAGCGGTCCGCCGCGGCGCACTGCACCTGGCCTGCATAATGCATCGCGATCCCTGCTCCCGCTGCGGGCCCCCGGTCGCCCGACAGTGCACCATGCCACACCACCGGCCGCCGCTCATAGCTCAAGGGCGAATGCCGCCGAATCTGGAGAAAACGCGCGGCGGTCCGGCCAGAAAGCTGACGCCAAACACAGCCCCAAAACGGCACCACGCGTGTCATGCGAGGCGAGGACGTTACGAGGACGACGAGGACATGCGAGGACGTTAGACGGGTTGGCGGATGTGGCCTTCGGCACCTAACAAGACCGCAGCTCCTCTCCGCGCGTAGTGATATCTTCGACATAACCTCGTCCACGCGTCCACGCGTGATATTACCAAAGTTGATTTCAGCCTGAGCTTCATGCCGACCTTGCGTGGTCGACACCTTTTCACATGCCAGCACTGCGACAAAAACGACAATGGATGCGGCAGACAATCTTCTCCGAGCACTCGTTCTGCCGACGCGAAAAAAAACGCATGAGCACGGTCCAACGATCCGGGCCGCGGCCACCAGGATCTGCCACCAGGCACAGAGGCTGCCCGGCAACCCCTCCTCCCCGGTGCGGCCAGCCCGCCGGGGGACTCCCTGCCCGAGCCGAGCCAGCCGGCGGAGGGCGGCCGCGCAGCCGACGCGCGCAATGCCACAGCCACGCGGCCGGGGGCCTAGCTGCTGACGGCGCACGGCCGCCACCGCCTGCAACGGTCGCGCCGCCGCCGAAGGTCATCGGCCGGCATTATGCGGCGGCCGCGGCGCGGCGCGTCGCGCCGTCCACCATGAATCCGCGGATCGATTGGCGCGCCGGGCGTTGGCGCGGAGATACGGAGAGCGCGGTGGCTCCGGCGGCGCCGGCGAGGTCGCTGCGGGACGGCAGCGCGTCGGGCGGCGACACGGAGAGCGCGGACGCGCCGGCGGCACGGGCCCTCGAGCGGGGCGTCACAAATGCGGGGAGGCACCGCCCGCGGCGGCGCGGCCGACCGGTTAGTCAGGACAGAAAGCACAACAGCGGGGCCGAACAAGGTGAGTTGTCAACACATACTGAAGGATCGGCAAATACGAGAAGCTGACAAAAGGTGGGATGTCAACACAACATGAGCGACGGACAAATACCGAAAACCGACAAAAAGATCGAACGCCGCCGCGATGCGTTATCGGCGACCACAACTAGCAGCTGGTACAGACGCAACAAAATACAACGTACCCAGGGAGCCACAACACACGGGCGACTGCAGACCCCCCCCCCCCCCCCTTCGGTTCCCACAGTGCAAACAAACATAAGCGGTGGCGCCGAGGCCGGCGCCGGCCGAGCCAGTGATGCGAGTCTGCGGTCGGCTAAAACGCCGCCCGTGGGAGCGGCGCCGTCGCGGCACCGGAGACGAGCGCGGAGGCGGCGCGGCCGACCTCGCGTGCGCGCGCGCACTAGCCGCCCGCTTTCTCAGCGGCGCCGGATTTTGGCGGCGGCCCGGCCGGCTCGGCTAACAAGGTGCTTAGCGGCGCCGGGGCTCCCACCGAGCGCATACCGCCGGCGCCAGTTTTCGCAGGCCGGCCGGGCTGGCGACGGCGCGGCCGGCCCAGCCGCCGCCTCACATGACAGCGCAGCGGGCGGATGCTTGGAGATGGCCGACGAGGAGGGCTCCAAACCTGCTGCGGACGAAGTCGCCGCACCTCCAGCCACACGAACTAACGCATCCACGCTTCCGAGACGTTCGCGACCATTCGCACGCTTCCCACGCTTGGCATCACGACGACACGACAGTGACCAACAAGCAGAACCCATGCATTAGGACTTCACAGTGTCGTCCTCACCTGACGCGGCCACGGCAAGCCCTCTCTCCCGCCCCCGCGGGGCGCCACACCTACCGGGACTGTGCGTGTGCTGGAACATGGACGAGGTGGAGGTGGCGGCGGCCACGGCGGCCGCCAGCGCCACCTCGTACGCCTGCGGCGGCGCCGGCAGCGCCAGCGCCAGGTTTTGATGCAGCTGCTCGAACTCGACGGAGACGTTGAGCGGTTTTGATTGGTTGACGGGCTCGACGGTGACGCGCTCGTCACGCGCGTCCGTCGAGTGGTTGGAGCTGGCCAGGTCCAGCGGCGCCTCTGCGGGCAGCAGCGGGGGCCGGTGAGGACGAGCACCACCCTCCCCGCCGGGCTCGGCGGACGCGCCGCCGCTCCGCCGCCGGCTCATCTCGGCGGCCTTACGATACTTCTCAGGGCAGGCGCAGACCTGTAAATGTATAATGTAAAAGGTCATCGTACGATTCAACACGAGTTGCACAAGAGTGCTCCGCCTGCAGACGTGCAGGAGCACGGAAATGGGCTTCCGCTCGGACCCACGTCTATATGTGCCGCCCCGGACTTCCGATCAGTACTCTATCGGCGATACATTTGACGTCTCCTTTCTGTTGTTTCGGCACAGGTCGCATATTCATACATTTTTCACTTATCTTAACGTTCAACGTTCTACTGTAAAGCTGACAAAGGAGGAAAATAGAATTCGCTCTTCCCTTTCATTGATGTGCGGATTAGGAAATAACAAGGACAATTTGGGTCTCTTCCTATAAAACCCACGCTCGCTGGTCTCGAATTGAGCTTCTTTCAGTGGCAAGAAAACGCTTTTTATTGAAAATTCGGTTAAGTTCCAACTATATACCCTGGTATTTCGCATTTGATTGACTCAGATTACTCTTTCAAGGAAACGGCTTACCGCTTTTAATTATCAATATCTTAATAAAAAGTGTCTTGGATGGAGGACACTAAGAGCCCCCGCAGTTCATGAAGTTCCCAGACTAACTAAATATTTTGATATGAACGTTTCAAGCGATATTATCTCGCGATGTTTGCTAAATGCAGTTTTTATTTCCATTGCTACTCCACAATACCATGTGTATTTCATGTCTTTTCGATAGCAGCGTAAACAATTACACTCCGCTCTTTCCGCAACAGCAAGCATGCGGGCTAAAATATGCGTTTCTTGTGGGTAACTTGGCAAATGCTCATCCACCCAAGTGCATACCTGTTGAACACGGCGCCAAATCAACGGACCATGCAAAGAGCACTCCAACTACGCCCCGCGCAAACCCATGTGGGCACGAAAGCTGTGGTACTTGCCATAGCTTTCGACACGTTATGACAAGCACCACAGCTACTGAAATGGTCCAGGGGCGCCGCACTGTGAAATCGACACTGCTGCAAGGCGATTCCCAAAACACGGCTAATTGGCTGGTCAACTAGCAAGGGCCAGACGCCCCAGCAGCTGTTTTTACTCCCGACCACACCACGGTGAAAATCACTCACGCCTCTCTGTCATCCCCTGCAATCACTCAGCGAGAGCCGATAAGGCAAACCGCATGGACAGCACGCCCGGAGACGTCGCCAGCGGATTACGTCCGGCACGTCTCGAAATAAGTCTGAACCAGTTTGCGGTCCACCCGACCACACCGCGGCGAAAAATGCCGCGAACAGCGGGCGTGACAACGGGACTGAAATGCGCCGTTGAGCCGCCAGCGGCCGCGGCGACATTCCGGCGGACGGCGGCACTGCGGTTCGTTCCGTTGGTGACCGGCTGGCTCCATGCACGGCCTCGCCCCTCCCCAGGGTCTGCGGCGGAGTCGGTGGGGGCGCACGAAACAACATGCCACCGCTGACGACGCGGGGAAGGCAGGGGCGCGCCGGCCGGCTTTGGGAGCGCGCTGAGGCTGGACGGCGCCTTTCCGCTCCGGAGCAGTCGGTGCGAAGGGAAACATGTCCAGACGAAATTATGATGACGGGATAACATTGTTCCGGGGTCGGTACGCGGCACCTGCGCTGCTAACAGAGCAACGAACGCCTTGGACAAGGGCAGATGGCGTAAGGTACAACCAGCACGGAAAATAGCTGCAGCATTTTGAATGAATCGGCACTCAGTATCGCACCATTCAATTGGCAAAGTGTCATGAGTGCAATATATATTCCTGTACTGCCCATCACAAATGCTTACACGCGTCTGCTCTATAGGTACACTGAAAAAAATAAATGACATTACTCTCGTAGACGCACGAACGAGTGCGGTTGACGCGCCCTTCAAACCGACTATGCGGACAGGCAACTACAGATACAGTTCCTGACACCTGGTTTTTCTCTGTTAAACCAGCTGGCAGAAGCTACCGTTGACAAACTGGTAGAAATTTAAGCACGTGAGAAGATGATGGAAGACAGTAGGGCCAAACGGAAACGCCTAATAGCGATATCGATTGCACGTTGAGACTTTTTAGCGGCGCTATGATCCATAGCATGACAGCACTTTAAAAAGAATACGGAATGGCAGACAATTATATATCATCAAACATGCTGTGATATAAGGGCTCGTATTTACGTTCGTAAATTACCCAAACATCATGAACCGCAACAGATCAACAGATCAAGAACTTTTGAAAATAATTCCCCTGATGCGCCTTGCCCTTCACCTTCACGCCGCGCATAAAGAGTGAGTTTCCCACCAAGCCACACAGCTCACGTTGCACCAGCATTCAGACGGAAACTCTGCTGAACTATTTTACAGCGCAACGAGAAAGTACTTACAAAAATAATCATGTCATACCAATCACATATTGTGGAGCAGCTTTCCACACATTTAGCAAAAACCAACATACGGTTTTTCGGTAGATACCATTCGTTTGCACGTTAGCACATAAAACAAACTATAACATGAGGACGGGTGGACGGACAATACGACAAAATCGTTAGCTGGTAACCGCAACGTTCCCATTCAGTAGCAAAATGTGTGGCTTGCAATGGATACTGCGTCAAGCACGGTTCGAAAACTGATCCATCACTTTCTTGCTACACTGATTGCTCCTTTTTCGACGGCGGGGATTACTGAAGTAAGCGATGCAATACAGTAACACCAAGATGGACACTATTTTCATCGACCCTTCAGTAACGAAACAGTGGAACAGTGGAAAGCAGCGCTATGAACGTGGCTAATCGGTGTTGGAGCTCGGCCCCGGCGGCGAATAGTTGTTAACGCTTGGGACCAGTATGGTAGGTGGCCTTGTACACCCAGTACCTTACAAGGTTGGTGAATCCAATTTCCTACAAACGCACCATAACAGCATCACTTTTAATTTATACTTTTATCGTATTTATCAAAATATCAGCAACTACACATTTGCATAACCAAAAGTGATGGTGCAACCATCCTTGAAGTTAACTTGCGTGATGTTCTCCATCCATCTTCACTAACCAGCGAGTACGCCTCTGATAGATACCAGATTTGAGTTGTTCATAGCAGGAGCGGCCTCGCATCAAGGAAGCCATACCCAACGAACACCGCGCACAGGTCCAGGCGCTGATCTTTTTAACCATTATAGCACACACACACGACTACCTTGACCGCGTTGTCGTGGAAGCGTGTGCTGCAGCTACCCGTCTACCGACTGATATGGAATACCGGATGTGGCCAAGGCCCGATTGCACGGCTGATTATCAGAGGAATACTACGGCGTTCTCAGTTCCGACCAGCATATACCGCTATTGGCCGACCAAAACCAGCGCGCCGAGTGACCATCCAGGGTTCCATCGGTTGAAATGCCGATCATGCGGCCAGCGAACGTCCGAGCCCGAACAGGCGGTTTTAGAAACTGCGCTGCGATGTCAACCCTTCCAATGCACCAGTGTGCACGATTCACGATGTGGCATTCCACATCTTTCACTTCAGCTCGGACTCGTCCGCACTGCGATCATGTTAAAATATATGCACAGGTGTACTTCTGTCGGCTTGGCGCAGCCACGCGAACAACCTCCGTTTCTGGGCTGACGTCCACGTGGCCTCGCCGACCCTCCACACTAGTCCCGTCTGCATGTGCCCTCACAAGTCTCAAGAGGAGCGACTCCTCGCACACGGCTGCTGCCTGTCCTCACTAGCCCTGTCCAGCTGACCCTACCCGCGGATCATGGCCAGCCCGCCCTCTCCAGAACCTCGGACGTTCAAACGCCGCCCAGCCGCTAATCCCTGACCCTGTCAGACACTGACCCCGTGCGATCAGAGGCCAAATCAGACTAACCAGCCCAGCAGGCCCAGAATCATCCGAGCCCAACCCCGCCCGGTCGTCCCACGGACAGACCCTGTCCGGGTCAGAGCCGCTCCGCTCCGTCTGGCCCTGACCCTGCCCAGCTGACCTCAGCTCCGCCCCCTGACCCTGCCCAGCTGACCCCAGCTCCGCCTGGCCCTGACCCTGCCAGCTGACCCCAGCTCCGTCTGGCCCTGACCCTGCCCAGCTGACCCCAGCTCCGCCCTGACCCTGACCCTGCCCAGCTGACCCCAGCTCCGTCTGGCCCTGACCCTACCCAGCTGACCCCAGCTCCGCCTGACCCTGACCCTGCCCAGCTGACCCCAGCTCCGCCTGGCCCTGACCCTGCCCAGCTGACCCCAGCTCCGCCTGGCCCTGACCCTGCCCAGCTGACCCCAGCTCCGCCTGACCCTGACCCTGCCCAGCTGACCCCAGCTCCGCCCGACCCTGACCCTGCCCAGCTGACCCCAGCTCCGCCCGGTCCCGACAGCTGATCCAGGACGGCCAGACGCGTCCAGTACACTGACCCTGGATGTCGTTGTCACCGTGGCCGGCCGGCGGCGCCGCCGAGCCGAGAGACTCGTGTCGACTGCGCTTGCTGGACGGCGAGGCGGGCCGGAACTCCTCGGCGGACGGCGCCGCCGCGGCCGGCTCCACCGGGCATCGGGACGGACCGTCCGGCGGCGACGGCACACTCTGCGGAGGTCAGGTCCGGTCACGTCAGGTCAGGTCAGGTCAGGTCAGGGGACTGCAACACGCCCCTGGATGGCTTATCCCCGGTAGCGATGGCACACCCTGGAAAACGGAATGCCAAGGGCATGCTAGCACGACAAATATCACGCTTGGTCATAAACGTAACAAACCTCGCTTGAGACAGTTCGGGCTCGCCCACAGAACACAGCACACACGCAGGCTCTCCAAACACAGCCGGCCATGCCTCGGGGGAGTTTAAGTTGTTCTGTAAAGGCCGACAACGCTCGGTTAAGTCCCATAGGGCGATGAATTCGCGAAACTGATGGGACACGGCCAAGCAACGAACAGCTGGATGCTGCCGGCAAAAATACGTCTACCAGACACAAATCTCATTCCCTGGCCAATCTTTCACCGCGTCAACAGCCCGACGGCAGGCAACGCACCCTAAAGGCACGCAGTTTCCAAGCCAAAGAGGTAATGATCCAGCAAAGCAAGCGGCCTTTGCACGGCAACAGACGCTGCAGCGACCCGAGCCCATTTCTAGCGCAGCAAGCCGACGGCACAACGCATCGATCGCGCAGAGCTGTATCGCAAAGGGACTTTGGCTTCTCGGTATCTGACCCCGGCCTAACACAGTAGGATAGAGATCGCCAACACGGGGGAGTTCCTGACCTGCCCGGACTGCCCTGGGACTTATCATAATTTTCCCCCGGGGCGGCAATCGTGCACTCCATGAACTGGGTCGGAAACGCCAACAACAAGCGGCCACCACAGCGTCCACCACGTTGGACGAAGAAGACAGCAGCAATGATGCAAAACCGTTGCTAAAAACACAACGGTACATCTCACTACGCGTTGACCTTTGCCAACTGCCATCTAATTCAAGCTCACTGCTAATCCTGAAACGCGGATCACATTCAGGGCTTTCACTCCACCACAGTCACCATGTGCTTCTTTGCCGGATTGTTTCTTAGCTGGCGCTGTCTGATCTTTCGACCTGATTCCATGGCTATAAACAACAAAGAGAAGTATGCTGGACAAAAGACCCATCAGCGCGATAGCCAACTTCGGCGAAGGCAGCCGCTCGGCATCTGACTACAGCTCCCTCGTGCCCGGACGGCAGACGGCATTTGAGAGACAGAGGAGCTGGGGGAGCACCGCCCGCTTCCGTGCCGCAGCGCCGCAAGATTCGGCGGCACCGCTGCAGCACGAGTCGTCCGGCGGCCGCGGCGTCCGGGCCGATCTCTCCCCTGGGAGCTGACCAGAGCCGTAACTCCTGCGCCGCAGACGGCGGACGGGCGGCCGCGGCCGAGGCGCCGCCGCCCTCCTTCGTACCTGGGAGGCGGACCGCTTCCTCTGTCCGCCGATGTGGACCTTGCGGCGGCCCTCGGGCACGGGCCGCGGCAGCGGGCCGCCGCCGCTGGGGCCGCCTGCCGGCCAGCGCAGGAACTTGTGTGGTGAGGGTCGGATCTCGCGCCGGTCGGCCGACAGGCACGAGGTGGGCGTGGTGGCGGCCGACTCGCCGCGCTCAGCGCTCACCTCGCACAGACCTTTAATCTGGAGCTGCCGGCGCACAGGGGAGCACAGAGTCAACGGACCTGATCTGGAGGTGCCGGCGCACAGGGGAACACGGGGTCAAGGGGCCTGATCTGGAGGTGTCAGCGCACAGAGGAACACATGGTCACGGGGTCTGATCTGGAGCTGTCGGTGCACAGACACGGAGCAACGGTCAGAACATAGGGCTGAGGGACCTGATTTGGAGCTGCCAGCGCACATATAGGAACAGCGATCTGAACACTTGGGTCAGGGGACCTGATCTGGGGCTGCCGACGTACAGAGACAGAACAACGATCAGAGCACAGGGTCTAGGGGCCTGATCTGGAGCTGCCGGCGCACAGAGACGACGCAACGGTCATAACACGGGCAAAGGACCTCTGGAATGGTTTGGGTTTTGTGGGCGCGTCGGCGTCAAGACCATCCGGCGCCCCCTATGTGGAGCTACTGGCAGGCAGGGGATGACTGGTCAGGGACACGCTTCTGGCACAGCGCCACCCGCAGGACACACACGGGAGTCAGGAGAATGACGGTCGGGGTCAGGGTTTGGGCACGGCGTCATAGATCACACAGGATCTGATCCAGAACCGCCCAGAAGCGCACACAGAGAGCAGCGGTCGGAGACACAGCATCACACGACCTCGTCCCAAGCCTCCGGGACGGCCGGGCATGGGGTCCACCGAGCGCCACGGGTCCCCGGCCCGCCCAGGTCCGGCGCGGACACAGGACTTTGACCGGCGTCCTGGCAGCGCCGGCGGGACGTCCTGCCATGGACGGCCGTCACGGCATGATACGGACATGCAGTCATGTATCTGCGATGGATCGCGCGATAACAGCCAGGAAGGGAGCAATGACCGCAGGGGGAAGCTGATCAGTGCCAACCGCGGCGCAGATCCGTGGTCCGGGGCCAGGCGGTCAGGCATGCGGAGGACGGCGTTCCAGCGAGCATACGCCGCGGTGACACCGATTAGCACAAGCCGGCACGGCCACGGGACCTCGCTCTGGGGAGCTGGGGAGAGGGAGAGCAGTAACTGGCCGACACGCCACGGCCAACAGCCCGCCGCCGCGGCCGACCCCCAGCCTGCTGACGGAACACCGCTCCGTCGCCGCCGCGGGGGCGCGGTGACGGGCCGCGGGGCGTCGTCAGGACGCGACGGCACCCAGCGCCCGACCGCCTGAGCACGGCGCTGGGCCGGAGCCACAGTCGCAAAACGGTCGTGCGAGCCGGCGGCTCGGAGACATCCGCGCGCCGTCGAGGGCTGGCACCGAGCCCCGGCCGGCGGTCCGGGGCCGTCGCCGGCGCAGGCGTCGGCCCCACCGCAGACGCAGTCAGCCTAACGGACGTCGCAGGCCGGTGGGCGGGCGCAACAGCGGCACCGGCCCTCGCTCGCCGGTTCAGGGTGCGTGTGCACTAACTGTACCGCCTTCACGGCAGTGGTTTCACTGCCGCTTGAGAGGCGCAGCATATTTATTTCGGGTGAGGGTGCGCCGAACACGGTCGCGCCCTATGGCAGACCTCGGCCCCGACGTACGGCACGCTCCACAGGCGTGCTGCGGTGAGGAATGCAGACATGAAAACAGAGAGGCTCACGCCACGGCGATTCGAGAAGAGCAGTGGGGCCGGAGTGGCCGGCGGGCGCGCGCGCGACATGATCTCTTGTTTGGACTACACCCAAGTCCAGCAGACCCGGGGCGCAAAGGTCAGGGGTGAGCTCAAACACGGCGTCCACCGGCGGCGAACGGGAGTGGGCCAGCGAGAGCAACCCGCCGGCGTCCGGCTCCCGTCCCGTCCCTGCGCAGCCGCGCGGCTGGAGCCCGGCCGGCACAGCCCGGACCATGCTCCCGCCCCGTCCCTGTGCAGCCGGCCGGCACACTCCTGCCCCTGTTCCCCTCCAGTCTCTGTGCAGCAGCGCCGCTGGAGCCCGGCCGGCACACCCCTGACCCTGTTCCTGTCCCGTCTCTGTGCAGCAGCGCGGCTGGGGTCAGGCCGGCACACCCCTGACCCTGCTCCCGCCTCGTCGCTGTGCGCCCGCGCGGCTGGAGCCCGGCCGGCACACCCCTGACCCTGCTCCCGTCCCGTCTCCCTGTGCAGCCGCGCTGTTGGGGTCCTGCCAGCACGCCCCTGACCCTGCTCCCGTCCCGTCTCCGTGCAGCAGTGCGGCTCGGGTCCGGCCGGCACACCCCTGACCCTGCTCTCGCCCGCGTCTGTCCAGCCGACCACATTCACACATGGGACAGTCTGGCGCAGATCCGCCACCCAGCGCCTTATCTGAATCGCACACAGCCGAAGGATCAGGACGCAGAACCAGACGCAGGTCCACCGGCATCCCAGCCGTCCACCAGCAGCTGGCATTGCCAGACCGCAGGCCGACCGGGCACCCTCCCAGCGGGACGTGCCCATGCTAATACCGCAATCGCCCATCTCGGCGAGCGCGGCTGGCGGCGGCCGCTGCCCGGCGACAATCGGAGCCGGTCAGCCGGGGTCGTGGGGCCCGCCCGCCCGGCCGGTCTCCGCTCTCGCCGGGCCGCGGTTTGTTGGCAGGAGGCTCAGCTCGGGTCCCGGCCTGGTCACACGGTCGAGCTGCTCCGACCGGGCCCGGCCTGCCCTCCGTAGCTCCTCCGCTCCGCCCGTGCCGTTCTTGTGGCATATTGTCAGTTGATCCGCCCCAGCTGGGGGGTGAGATTGTTTGCCCAGTTGGCCCGTTATCTGCTGGTCTGCGGCGTGCCGTCCGGCCGGAGCGCCCTCACCTGGTCGGCCGTCTGCAGCAGGTTGTCCAGCTGCTCCTGCGCCACGTCGATCTCGCCCTTGTAGACGAACTCGATGACGTGCCGCAGGTCCGAGTAGCGCACATCCCGCGGCAGGATGATGATCGGGTGCTTGCAGGGGTTGTTCAACAGCAGCGACTGGAAGTACGGCGAGCAGGCCGACAGGACCACCTGGCGACGGAGGGACGCCGACTCAGCGGAGGTACGGCTACGGTGCGGCAGGACGAGAGCGGTGCCCGTGGACCGGCACGGCAGGACGGGAGCGGTGCCTGTGGACCGGCACGGCAGGACGGGAGCGGTGCCTGTGGACCGGCACGGCAGGACGGGAGCGGTGCCTGTGGACCGGCACGGCAGGACGGGAGCGGTGCCTGGGGACCGGCACGGCAGGACGGGAGCGGTACCTGGGGACCGGCACGGCAGGACGGGAGCGGTACCTGTGGACCGGCACGGCAGGACGGGAGCGGTGCCTGTGGACCGGCACGGCAGGACGGGAGCGGTGCCTGTGGACCGGCACGGCAGGACGGGAGCGCTGCCTGTGGACCGGCACGGCAAGACGGGAGCGGTGCCTGGGGACCGGCACGGCAGGACGGGAGCGGTACCTGTGGACCTGCCCGGCAGGACGGGAGCGGTACCTGTGGACCGGCACGGCAGGACGGGAGCGAAACCTGTGGACCGACGCGAAAGAACACGACCGTCGACGAGACGGCGCTGAGGCACTGCATGATTGGTGCGCTCGTAAAACGGATCGGCACGATGACCGTTTGATTGTTTTACCAGGTACTACCCTTATGCCACCGCGGCATCTACCTCATGATGATGATTTGGGGTTTTGGGGCACACCGACTACCTCATAGCGTCGAAGTCATCAACCTCATAGCGCAGGAGGATGCAGAGGGGGAAGGAACAGAGCTGCGAGCACCACTGGCTGAACATCGGGATTTTGGAGATTTGGAATAATTATTCGACTACCGGTTCCACATCGGTATCCTTCTCAGCCAGCTCAGTTGGTAGGGTGCTGGAGTCGAAGCCAGAAGGCCCCGGTTCGTGTCCCAGAAATTCCAGCGACGGGAATCAGGATGCGCCGCTTACATAGTTAAAAGCGAAACACCGTTAAGTCGCTCCCAGTGCTCAGTAACGGCTGACGACGGCCGGAGCATTAACTGGCCGCAACGTTGGGTACACACCAGACGACGATGGCCCGAACAACTGTAATACTAATACCTTCTCAATCCTTCCGTAAAGCTGTGAACGGTGAGTCCCGCAACCACAAACAACCCTTGTCTCAATCCTTCCGTAAACCTATGAACGGTGAGTCCAGCAACCACATACAACCCCAACGAGCTGGCACCTGGGCCACTGGTTCATCGCACGATCCCAGACAAAATAACCTCGTGAAATCCCACAATCAGCCAGAGAAGCACAAAAGCTAAAAAACAAGAAAAAA